CACTGCTCGCTGCTGTCTGCCGACTCCCAGGCGCAGCTGCCGGACGCCGATGCCGCCGATCTACCAGACGTTCTCCGGGAGCTATGCGAGCTCAAGGCGCGGTGCGTGGCCGGAATTCCAGGACCACGGCGAGATAGTCGTCGGCATGCTGGCAGATAGCAGCATGTGTCAGGCATGTGTCAGGACTGCAGGCAGATGTGTGCCGCGGGAGTTGGCGGCATGATTCGGGCGTGGCGGAAGCACTTTGTCGACTGCGCATGCCCCCGTCATTTGCCCGACCACTGGGTAGTTGGGTACCCAATTTCATAGAAGGCACTCGAGGCTTTTTTGTCAGTGTAGCCTCTGCTCATAACATTTGCTAATCCTACAGCCAAGCAGCGGACCGTGGCTATGTTACTTGTGCGGCACACGTCGTTCCGCGATCGCTGCTCGGCATAACTGGTCAAGAGTCCATGTACCGGCTGGTGTTACAGAGCAGGAGTGGTTGGCGTGTCTGCGCCCTGGGCTCTGTGACTCGGTTTGCTAGCACTGCGAGCTAGTGCGAGCCTGTTCGTCGTTGGGGATCGACGCCATCCCGCAAATAACAAATTCCCGTAGGTGTATGAAAAAAGCTCGTATATGGCAATCCGACTCGTTCCGCGCCTCCCCCACCCACCCAACCAACAGCCATTTCAACGCCTGCCAGCAGGAATCCTTATCTTTTTCCCTGTAGCGCTGGGCTTGTGAACAGCGGGCGTATATATAGAAGGCGACGAGTTCCTTCAACATCTCTCTCCCCAACCGCCATTCCTCGCACGCCTGCTTCTCTTCTCTCTCTCCCATCCCATTTAGATTTTCTCATACTCTTTTACACACTCGGCCATGTTCACCAACGCGACTAAGCTCTACCTGAAGAAGCACTGGTACCGCTCGGAGCTGATCCCCATCTACGGCATCTGTGTCGGCGCGCTCGGCGTGTGCGGATACTTTGCCAGCCGCGCCTGAAGAACCCGAGGTCGTCTGGGACAAGAAGAACAACCCGTACCCGTGGCTGCACGTCAAGCAGTCCGAGAACGTGAAGCTGATGGACCCGAATGGCAAGTTCGAGAGCCAGTGGTCGCGCGACCGCCTTTAAGGTGCTGTAGTCTGTATAAAAACATTTTTGGTCGAGGTTATAATACATTTGGGCCGTACCACAATTTCACCCCCATGCGTGACTGCTTTTCGCATTGCTGCAGGCTACGGACAATTGCGCTGCGATGCCGCTGTGCTGAGCGTAAGCTGCAGCCCACTTCCGCTCGGGCGCTGCGTGGCGAGAAATCTATCTCATATTTTTGGGGCGATTGGTGTGGATGTTGCGAGGGCATGAAACGCGGCGGGCGGGGATATAGTGCGAGCGGCTAGCTCTTGCCCGCCGAGTGATAAACCTCGGCTTTGGTGTGCGGCCTCCCCGTACATGAAACGCCAACTCCTTGGCGCTGGATATAGCTACCGCACAGAGCTATGGATCCGAGGAAAAAAGAGTGAGCAGAGACTTCAAAACGAAGCCTCCAGGCTCGGTTTTTGAGAGGAGTGCCAATTGAAATATCCCCTCCCCAAAAAAGCGCACCCTGCCCCAGGTGTCGTCTGCGCTGCCCTTGTGGGCGCGTTATGGAGCCGTTGAAACATTTAATAAACAATTATTTTTCTTAGCGCGGACTCACATGCTCATCGAATTTGCTGGATCCGCCGGATCTTTCGCAGGAGGTTGTTGTACCAGTCGTCAAACACCTTTGTCGGCAGAACCTGGACCGGGGCGCCAGACCCGATCAATCCCATCGAGGAGTCGGCACGCGTCGCAAACGACATCGCATATTCGTACAGGTTGCCCAGCGTCTTCTGCGCAAAGGCCTGGGCTGTCTGCGGCGACACCTGCTGTCCCGCCGGCACCACTGCCTGCGACGTGCCCCGCGCCTTTGGAACTCCTGCTCGACCGCCTGGACTGGCTCGATGGAGATGCCGAGCTCGGCGTTCATATGTGGCATCTGCGCTGCCTCCTCGGGCGATATTGTCGATTTGAGGCGGAAGATCGCGCTTGGCTTGTCGTTGGACAGCACACCGAGGAACTGCCAGTCCTTGTTGGGCCACAGCAGGTGCACAGTGGCTGCGTACCCGGGCTCGAACGGGATTGTGCCCAGCAAGGAAACACTACCAGGTGGTTAATGAGGTGCGCCTCGGGCAATTCAAACACATACTTGTTCACGTCAACCTGGCGCAGGTTTGTCTGCCACCAGCCGACCAGCCACAATACACCCAAACATGATCTGGCGCGCGTGGTACACAAGGTATAATATCCGTAGACTGCGTGGTGCTGGTGGGGAAGGTCTATTACTAATCGGCCCGAAGAAATATAAAAAGGATGCACCAGGAACTGCGTGTTGAAAGAAAACAAGACGGAGAGCAGTGTCGTCAGTGGTCGCACCCCAGCGCCCGGCTTTTGAAGACCACTGGCGGAAACGGCTCACTGACCAAATCACATGAGCGTGATTGGATTACAAATATCGCGGTCTGCTGCTCAGATAAAAGGGAGACCAAGACTGCTTCTGTGCCGTTCTGGCTGCAACTCGACTCTTGTCAACCCTTCCTTTCCCTTCCTTTCCACTTTTTGACTTTTTTTCCAACCTATATGGGCGCCAGTGCATCACAGCCAGTAGACATGACTGCCATCTCAAAGATCGTAAAGCCGCTTATCAACGAGAACGCTGTAATGGTGTTCTCGAAGAGCTACTGCCCTACTGCAACCGCGCCAAGGCTGCACTGAAGGGCATCAACGTCGAATTCAAGGCTATCGAGCTCGATAAGGAGGCCAACGGCTCCGACATCCAGGCGTATCTGGCTGAGCTCACCAAGCAGCGCACGGTGCCGAACATCTTCGTCAAGGGCCACCATATTGGCGGGTGCGACGATACTCTGGCGGCCATCAAGTCAGGCAAGATCCAGCAGCTGATCAAGGGCGAGCATGCTCAGCTCTAAGATCCCCAAATGCTGTAGTCCATGTACTCTGTAATTTGCGACTTTCCTAACTAGTATTTTTTTCCCAGAGATGCTGAGCTAACCCAGGCTTCGAATGGCGTCATTCTTCAGGGAGGCACTCACAGCCCTCTACTAATACATATTCCTCATTCATGCGCGCACTGACAATGGATCCCACGGTTACAGGGCTGCCGACTGTATATGCGCCCATGTACCGAAGTATGTGTGCGATGAGATTATCTGAGATCCCGCCACAACACGGCAATTTGCAGTGCCTTCCCCGGACTAGATTGTTACGCGTACCATGGATCTGCCTTCTGCTCCGAATGGCGTGGCAATGATTCACAAGCACGCACAGAGACCCAGTAGAAGCAGGAGGGTACCATCTCGCCACAGGTAGACCATGGTCGACTGCGGTCACCTAGGTGCCAGTAGAAAGGCTGGGGATCGGGATGGCGATTGGCATTCACATAGAGATGTGCACTACCTATTGGCCAAATGTGCGTTTCTTATCTATGAGCGTTTTGTGCGCTTGGCCTCTGGTCAATCGGGGCTTTCGCCAAACACAGCCGCGACGCCCGGGGCTTCCTTGTTGTCCCGTCTGCATACCCGGCTGATCGCCGCACGCCAGCAATGGAAAATCAACGCACAATAAGCCTTTTCTCCCCCACACCCAGCATCCTGTACAGCTGTCAGGTATAAATCCCCTCCCCTCATGCACCAGCTGTCCTGTTCCTGAATCAGCTTGTTTTTCCTTTCTCTCCCTGAACCCGTGCCAAGCAAAAATTATTTTCTTGCATTATTTGTACGCCTCTTTGCATGTCAACATTCGAGTCTCTGCCGGCAGATATGCTGGCCAGGGTCTTCCTGTACCTCCGCGAAGGCGGCCGCAATTACCCGTACCATTACTGTGATGAGGCCGGCCTTGACATTCCCGACATAGCGGTATCCCGCACATTCAGACACCATGCACGCGCCGCGTTGTACAAAAAAGCCTACTTTAGCATCGACAGCAGGAGCCAAGACACACAGGACGAGTGCGAGATCAAGACAAACATCGGAGAAATAATCGACAATGTGTGCTCCGATGCCGCGCACGAACTCCTGCTCGTCTTCGTCTCTGAGCTGACCCCCGACAAAGCGCATCAGGAACTCGAGAGCATCGGGTTCTTTGACCAGCAGTGGCCGACAATAACCACCTTGCACCTGCTGGGTGGGCTTAATAAGGACATCAAGGTGCAGAATTATTCCGACCAGGCTCTGACACGGCTCAATCTGGCACTGGCCAGGGCGCTTCCATGTGTGACCCGGGTCGTCTACCAGTTCGAATGCAACTATGTGTTTACCAAGGCCGTGCTCGAAGAATTTATTGTGGCGAAAATGGACACGCTCGAGACCATCGAGTTCATCGACTGCTCGGTTAGAAAGGTCACATTCACAAAGTTCCTGCCGCGGTTGAGGAGGCTGGGGATGCTGGTCAATGGGCGGAAGTACCAGGTTCCTGGTACAAAATTATGCGCGTCAACTATTGAGTATCTGAAGATCACATCGCTACATCCGAAAATGCTGCTTGGCTTCTTCTACGGCGAGCTCGAAAACCAGCTGCATTTTGAAAACCTGCATACACTTGTGCTTCACATCAATGACAAGGCTGAGCGGCCGAGTTTGCCAGACACCAGTGTGTTTACCAGTATCGCATTCCCGGCCCTGGTGCGGCTGGAGCTGACTGGGTACCAGGGTGATATAATGGACTACCTGAGTTTGTTCCCCCTCGGCCAGATCAAGGAGCTACGCATTCGAGAGAACGACGGCACCCAGCCGCTTGACATTTCGAAAATGACAGCACTGGAATCCTTGGGCGTCAACTTTGGCAACTGGACGTACTCTGACCACCAAAACTCTGAGCCGTGGGCGCACCCGCTATTCATATCCGACAGCACAGTCCGGCACCTGGAGCTCAATGGCGCCGACCCGTTCTTCATTACCAACGGGCTGCTCTCCGACTCGATGGTCTCGTACTTTTCGGTTCCGGATACAGTGCAGCTGCAGCGCCTAGAGCAGCTCACAATCAACGCCATTGCTGACCGTGGCCACCTGGTCAAGCTGTTGCGACAGCTCAAGTGTCTGCGACAGCTGCACCTAATGGTGTTTGTTGCTGGCCCAGTCAATTTGCTTGAAGATTCATATGACGATGGCAGGACCCCCGAGACGTACGATGCGATTAGCACATCGATTGTGTACCTGCACACTACATTCGCGCACTGCCTACTGCAGGATCCCAGCTACATAATCGAGCACGCATGGTTCATGGCACGACTGCCTTCACTACGGCGATGGGTCAGCAACACATGGGACAACAAGCAGACGATTGCCCAACTCGAGGCCATCCTCGACACCGAGCATATCTCACCTTATGTCCAGCATCTTGTTCCGCTGCTAGATGAGATGTGAGTTTCTCACTCGACTCGCTCCAAAACAGCCATTTAGACGACATCCATTTCCAGGACTAATAAAAATAGAGCAGCTGAGCTCGCATCGCGAGTGCCATAAGTCTAGTAGTGCTACCAGCTAACCATTTTGTCGACAGCATCGGCAAATGTGTCAAATGTGCCGTCCAGAGGGACCTCGGCCTTGGCCTCATCGTTGGCCATGTACTTTCCAGTACGAACCAGGATTCGCTTGAGCCCAAGCTCCTGTGCTCCACCGCCTAAATCAGCCAGCACATCATCGCCAACCATGGCCACCGATCCAGGCTGGTCAAGCAGTCCGATGTCTCTGAGCGCCAGCTCATAAAACTCCTTCTTGGGCTTACCAACAAGCACCCCTTGCTTGCCTGTCGCGTACTCCAACGCAGCAATGAACCCGCCTGGGCCAATAGACAGTGTGTTTTCAGACGATGCAAAGTACTTGGCGCGGTGAATGCCGACCAGCTCTGCTCCGTTCATCAGTGCGGTGAAGGCCCGGTTCATGTTGGTGTAGTCGAGCTTGGATGGTGCAAGGCCAAGCACCACGGCTGTGTGCGGCTCCGACTGGTCGATATCGGTGAACTGCTCCAGAGCCTCGTCCTCTAGCAGCAGCAGCGGCCGGTGGCTGTGCTCTTGGACCAGTCGTTTGGCTGCACTCAGCGATGTAAATATCTCAGTTCGGTCGAGTTCGAATCCAAGCTTGGTCAGCTTTGCGTAGAGGCGCTCATCGCTGGTCTTGGTCGAGTTCGTGACAAACCGTACCTTGACGCCGGCAGCACGCAGCTTCCTTAGCGCTGCGACTGCGTTGGGTGTCGCGACCTTGTCAATGTGGAGTGTGCCGCTGAGATCGAGCAAGGCCCCCTTGATTATTGACATTCTGAAGTTGCCTCTCGATGATAGAACATACACAAAGATACGACAAGCTAAGCATATTCCATCTACATTGGCGGCACGCTGCGAGAATGATTGATAGCCTTTATCTTTTGAAATAGTGTTATGGATCCGATGAGCAGAATGGATGAGCACACGCCTAGTCCATAGTCAGCGCCTTGCGAGCAAGCTCCAGGGCACCGTCGCGGGTCTTGTTACCGCCAATGAATCCGGCCTGGTGAACAAAGATACATCCCTCGATGCCAGTGCGCTCCGACAGAGCTTCGTCGCGCACACCACGCCATGCCTCAGGCAGCGGGTGACGAGACGTGAAGGCTCCAGGCTTCTCCGGCACAGCCTGCACACGCCACGCGTTGGAAGTATCCGGGTACAGCACGTAGAGGATCTTAGGAGCCTCTGGGTCCTTGGCCAGCATCTCCTCCTCGATCGTATGCAGATGATCCTTCCACGGGCAGAACTGATCAAACAGCACGATCTGGCCGCTGCGGTCAATATCAAACCGGCCGTTGATTCCATCCTCGACAATCTTGCGGCCTGGCAGCCACGCGAGGCCATAGTAGCGCACGCGGCCATAAAACTCCTCGCCGGCCATATCCATAGCCTTGGTGAACCGCGCATCCATATCGCCCTCGGGCTCATTCCACCACGGGTTAAGGCGGCCAACACGCGACGACAGGTTTGTCGACTCTTTGTATGCAGGCTCCAGGTCCTCCGGGTACTGCGACACACCGTTGTCGATACCGTCGATGCCCTCGATCATGACCTCATAGAGCTTCTGGTACAGGATCTCGGCCTCGACCTCGCTGACCTTTCCTTCAAGCACAGCAGTTATCACGTCCTTGCCGTAGTGCTTGTAGATCAGACCTGCGCTGCTGAGCTTGGTCTTGAACTTCTCAGAGAACTGCTCGTCAAAGCCGCGCTGATGGTGGTCGTAGCGCTTGTTCTCGTGGTCGTACACACCGCCAACATCGACGACAATATCGCACGCGTCAAGCGTGGCCGGATCGCGCGAACGGGTGATGGTGGCGTCCTTGTACTCGGGCAGCTGGCGAAGCATGTAGCAGGCCAGGGCCTCGTCGCAGTGGAAGGTGCCGCTGTGCGTTCCGATAGTCTTGGGCATGGCTGTTTTAAGGGTAGTTAGACTGCGGAGGGTCGGTCGAGTGAAGGGTCGAGTAAAAAGCCTAGTGAACGAGCTTCTAAGCATAAAAAGATCTGAAACAGTCGGTAAAACACGAAAGAAAGATTTTTTTTTGGTCTCCGATCAAGATGGCAGCGGACAGCGATTTTTGTGATCTCGTGCCTTATGGCCAACGTTTCGATCATTCTTTGGAATCAGCAAAAATGCTGGCTATTAATTGCATCACTCTCCGAGGTTGCACCTCAACTGCGGGCTCCTAATACAGCGGACACCACACATCCGCAATACGGACATGCTCCACACGCTGATGCTGCCATGGATAAAAGAGTGCCTACAACCAATCCAAAATACTGCTGGTGCAAGCTGTTTTGGTGGCTCAGCCAGAGTCGTGCCTCCAGCGATCCCTAGCCTAGGGAGCAGATAAAAAGTAGGTGCAATTGAGCGCTGGATACCATCTATCTAGCTATTAGCGGTGTCTCAAAAAGGAAGTTGTATGTCACTTGGAGAGTTTTGTAAAAGCGGGCTGCACTTTGTACCCAATTGTAAAATTGTTACTAATTCAACCAAATAGAAAACGTGACCCAGATGCCTTGCCACCATTACTATCTTCGTCATAGTTATTTAATGCCTAGTTTAACGGACTAAGATACGGAATATGCTGGTCTGAAGTCCGTTCATGGTGGACTCTGTTCTTTTATGGCGAAAATTGATGTGTATCTCAGAAGGGTGGATAATCAGCAAAAGGTAATTGGATGTCCACGGTGCGTGTCTTCCTTGCTACATTTTTATGCCCTGGATAGTTGAATGTTTCAGTGACACCTCCCTTTGTCTGCATGTTTTCTGCTACTGGCGTATTGGCGGTAGTTGCCCATGCCAGCGGTAAAAGCAGACATGGAGCACCGGGTCAAGGGCGATTAGAGCGGATACATACTCTGTATATTTCTCACCTAAGCCCATTCCTTGAGGGACACTGGTATGTATAGCCAACAATACACTCCTATGAGTCCAAGCAGTATACAATTGCGGATACCTTTGCAAGGTAGCCCTCATAGCCACAGATGATGGTCCTATTGTCGCAATCATGGAAGGCATATGCAAAAAAACAAAGGGAATGAACAGCTTTATTGAACCTGAAGAGAAAGTTATAGCCGCGTGCGTGAGACTCCTTTTGGACAATGCTATTCAACTGGCCATAATTTTCAGCACGAGTGCCTGACGGCTCCCTGTCAGCTTTTATGTTGACAGCACAAGTGCCGTCATCGCTGGGTGCGCATTAAGGTCAATATTCTGTTGGCTTCAAGTTGAGAATGTGGTTCATGTATTTCCCCTTCAACGTTATACTCGCACTGTCTCGAAATCAGCTGGTAGGAAGGCGGAGAACCCATGATTTTGGCGTGTTTGAACGAAATAGTTAAATGGTAGATTTTTGCAAGGCACATGTCCAGATTCGATGCACTGCCTATTTATACCTCAGCATGCCAGTGGCTAATTTGACTAATACAATTTTATCACTGTATTTCTCTGCATAGAGAGTAGTAGACTCTGTTTCACTAAGCCAGCCACAGTAATGGCAACCTGCCTTTTCAATCTGTAGGTACCTACTATCTTAATGTTGTTGAAAATGCCACCTATGACATGCATCAGAACTGATGGCGCAGTTAAATAGCTTTTCTTTGTCCCCTCGCTCTTTAAATGCACGTCTATCGGTATATTTTCAAAAACACCGGTATTTTCTTCACAAGAAACAACGTTGATACTGACAGAACACACTTGGCCTAACCGAACTGTTTCACCCAAGCCTCACACCTAATAGTTAGGGCCATTGGTCCACCGGCACAACATTGGTACAATCGATGGCTTGTCAATTTTTTGCGGCTGAATTGTCGACCAAACACATGTTTTCATGGAGCAGCGGTGTTATTCTCTGACAACACACCTCAGCCACCTGAGACCAGAGCTCTGAGGGTTAAAATATGCACAAACGAGAAGTAAAAGGAAATCAAAGCACTTGAGGGTAGGCGGAGATGTCGATGGTGCGCGTCACCTCAAAGTAATGGCGAAGTGTGTTTCTGGACGTCTTGGACCCAATGAGGGTGGACCTTAATCCTCGATACCTTCGGCAGACGAGAGATCAGCCTCGCAAAACCCCTCGATGTCGAATATTTCTTGGACCATGATTTCGAACTCCTCGACACTGTCGCTGATAGACGAGTCGTCAAGGGGATCAAGAATCTGGCCGAACTTGGTGATCCGGGATACCTCGTCTGAGAACACTGTCTTGTCAACGTTATCCGTCACCATTGTCACACAGTTAATGTTGAGTAGCTGTAGCACCGGAAGCTGCACGATCAGATTGGCGAGGATACTCTTGGTGGCAATGTTAGCAGAGAACGACAGGTCGCGCAGATTGATCCATGCGATGTTCATAGGCAACGGCCATCTGATGCAAGTGAATCTGGCTTTCTCGATATTGGCCGGCAGCATGAATAGACGTTCAATAGAAGACGATGAGTAGCTATTGTCAGCTACCTTGCCTGGAGGATGACCGACTGTCAGACTCTTCACAGTCTCCAGTGTGTGTTGGTTGATGCTGCCGAACTCGGATGGCTTGTCCACTATCTCCATACTAGCGATGCCACACGCCTGGAAAAACGTGTAGAGATTGTGGTAGACGTACGACGCACCGAAAACGCAGAGTGCTCAGGTTGGGAAACTGACACGGATGTTGTCGCCGGGGAATGCCACAGGATTGTCAGCCCTCCTGGTGAACTGCAACGACAGTTCCTCAAGGCAGTCAAAACAGCCGTCCTTGGGATGTCCTAAACAGCTGCCACGGGAAGACGTCAGTGCTGTTTAGAAGGTAGAGCACTCTGAGGCAGTCGGTAGCAACGGGAGGCAGGTCAGGACGTCCGCGAACATAATCGGCGTTGATAGAGAGCGAGACGACATGCTCAGGGAATTTGGTGATGGTTGTTGGGATAGGATTGTGAAGCTGGAGATGCTCCAGCTGTTCCACACACGCCTTGAATGTGAGTTCATAGAGTGGGTTAGCATCATCAGGAAGTATAGTATACCCAGCTGAAACGCAATGCAGTGTGCAGGTGATACTTCAGATCGTTCACCTGGGGGAAAAGGCGCTTGATGAGCTTGACGGCTTCCTCTGCATCGCTGGTCTATTCTTCAATAGTCTGGAGACGACCTGCAGTGAAAATGCCTTTTCCGAGATAGAGGATCGAGCGCACGTTTGGAAGTGGCCTGCCAATATCAGTAGCAACGTCCTTCAAATTGTACCTAGCTCCAAGGGCTGCCAGCTTGGGCCACGCATGATGACACGAACTTCGGATACTAGGTTCAGCTTGCCATGGTCAATGAGAAACTGCAAGTTGAGAAGCCACTCGCGAGGATACTTGAACTGCAACGAGGGACTCTCGTTTTCATCCTCGACGCGGCAATGGATGAAGAGCACGCTAAATGCAGAGTCCGGCAGTTCCCTAGCACGATGAGGATTTGCCTTGGCGAAGTCCATAATGCGGGTGTACTCCATATAGGTGGAGCCAGGGTACAGCGACGATGCGCACAGGCCGGCGATGTCGACTTGGGGGATACTGCTAGCTGGTTGTCACTCTGGTCGATATCCATTGCAACCACTTGAGTGAAAGGTGAAAGGTTGTCCAAAGGTTAGAACAAGGGTGCTGAATAAGCTAGGAGAGGTGGAAGAGCTATTGCTTGGAGTGGGTTTGTGGTGGTGGTAGTGGTGGAGTTGAAAGGGAGGAGCAGCTCGGCCATCGCCAGTTCTATGGTTAAATACCCGATTTCATTGCTGTCTGCCTCCCAGCTGTCTTTTTTTTTTTTGACAACCCTGCCTGAAATTGCCCTTCGCCCTCCCTCAGCAAGCCAGTTTGCATGCAAGTGGATGGAGAAAAGAATGCATATCCGAGCAGGCGTGACCTGGTGCCCCACATAAACTTGCTAGAAGAAATCGAGCAAAACGGCGGGTTTTGTGTCAGCAGGCACCCAGCAAGCCAGAATAGAGAGCGGATGCCCTCTGGCTTTGGGAAGACAGGGAGTAGGCCACATGAACAAAGGAACAACACACCACTCTTGGCGATGCTTTCTGACATTCCGTAGCTGAAAACCTGCTTGGCACCGCCCATTTCATTTCTGACAACTGCAAATGGTTGGCCAACAGTGCATATTAACACCAAATCTTTCGTCACCTTGTGTCGAGCACCGAGCGGCTCAGCACACCCCACACTCTAATTTCCTAACTGTGAACAGCTGGTACCTGCGCTGGAGGACCTGTTTTGCTTCATAAAAGTGGACGGTGCATGTGTTCACTACAGCAGATATGCAGCGGGCATTGTGTGTTCTTGTGGAGCGCTGGATGGAAAGGATGGCAAGGGAACTTCATTTTCCGACACACTGGCACT